CGGTTGCACCGGGAAACCACTAGTAGAAGTACCCTGAACAGAGGAGTGTGCCAAAGCCTATGAAAGAAACTTTATCTAAAAAAACAGAACGAGAAACGTAGAAATCCAAGCAACAAAGAATCAACGATAGAATGGGCGGTGAGCCGAGAGTACAAAAAACAAGACCTAGTAGTACTGGTGTGGGTCCCCTTTATATACTACTAGTTGGCGGGCAATTGCCCTGGGGGGTGGGTCAAGTAGGAGATCAACGTACAGTGCTGGCACAGTATCCTAATCATATGATCAATAGTGAAGTGACTGGGTGGTCACATATTTCAAGATTACTGTTCACTGGAGGGTCAGACAATCGTGTAAAGCTATGGGATTTGGATTCTCGCCAAATGGTCATGAAGTACGATGGACACACGAAGCCCATTACAGCGCTTTGCATATCGGACGTCCCCTTGAAATAACTGTTCCGTTCGTGATGTCTGCCCTTTGAATTTGATTAAGTTATTTCACACTTTTATTGAAGACTGTGATTTCCCCTGTAAAGCATCGATGTCATATTTTCTGTTGGTTTTGATTGTTTATTTTGTACAGATAATATACTGTTCAGCTAAATAGTACTTTTAAGGGTTACTCACTACTTGTGAACTGCCATGTTTGTCAAGCTTTTGCAGATTAGTATTAATAGTTCGTTGTTTTGTTAGTCCTTTGAGAAATTTAGTCACTAATATCTCAGAGTCTTCCAGATGTGGTACCGGCTTTTCATTAGAATTTTGTGTCGCTCTCAGATGTTGTTTTGTTTATTTTCTGTATAAATAGCTTTACTTTAACTGTCCTTTTACTCATAGCTGGTTTATTCCTGCGTTTACCTACTTTTTGGAGTATAAGAGTATTACATTGTTAAGCTTGTACAATTTTCAAATGATAGTGACGACGTATTCAGGTTGCTAGACTAGTTTGAGGGGACGCATAGTCGTCTGGTAGGAGGCAGAGATGTTCGCTCGAAAGGCGAAAGCGTCCGATCTAATGGGAAGCCTTACACGTTTCACTGATATGACGAGGTAGACCAATTAGCTTTTTCAATGGAAACGTGGATATCGATCGCTTTCAGAGACAGCGTCAGCCGAGTGAAACATCTGAAGATTCTGTTGGATTCCTTATCAACACAGGTATGCACACTTTTACGCATTATGGCATAGTTCGGTTTGGGGGAGGGGGAAGCTTGTACAGGCCACCCAGTGAAGACCTCTAGATTCCTGTGGCCTGCTCGCAACTGGCTTGCTCGCATCATTTCGCACCTTGGCATAATCTACAGGTTCCACCAAAGCAAGAACTGTTCTTTGCTGAACTGACAGAGAGGAGCAGGGAAAGTGCAAAATGCACCCTCCTAGCCGAACAACGCCGCGGTTATAATACTAATGCGAACAGAAGCTGAAGTTTTCCAGGAGAAGCGTCAGCTGATTGAAGAACACAGTTTCGAGACGTTTCACTTGGTAGATGAGCTACTCTTGTCAGCTGACATCGTAGCCAATCCTCAAGGTGCTGTGGAAGGTGAAAGTGGCTTGTGGACACTTGAACAAGTGCTCTGCTACGCACCAGAGCTTGTTGGAAATGGTACCGTCTTTCTTCTTAAGTGGTTGTAACGCATATCTACACAGAGTCTTGTTCGTTATGAATGAAGGGGCGTTCAGGCGGGAGGTTTGGCACGGCACCAAACATAATCTACACCAGCTGCAAAAGCGGGTAAGCTGCAGCTGATGGCAAACGACTTATGCGAACCATATGATACAGTCTTGTTGCTTGCTTGCTCCTACAACTGGTGGGAAAGGGCTTGACGCCGCGCCATACACATCCCGTCTGACATACCCTTCATCCGACGCGAACAAAACTATACATGTCTTGCGACTTTTTAATCGTTCTGATATTTCTCACTCATATCCTCTTATTTACTTGCATTCAGGATGGCAACGGCATGCCATTGAAGCGATTCTGAAAAAGGCCCTATACCCCAGAAACCTTCTGGCCATTCGCAAGATTGCAATCAGGCTGTTTCTAATCTTTTATCAGAGCCTCAGTGTTTTTGGCAAGGTGAGAACATCCAGTCGTCATTCCGCTGAAAGAAGTTACCTGAACTACAAAAATAGCTGTTTTTTTTTGCAGGTTACCGAAGACCTCGATCGTGTATTCCAGTGTCTCCTGCCATATTTTCCTTTGAGTAATGGCCAAAATACGGAGCTTGTACTTCAAGAATATTGCCACTCAGCAGGTCGGTATTTCAGTTGCAAGCACGTTCAGAGCTGGTCGTATGGGCGGAGTTACTTGGAACATTGCGCCCTCTTTCGCGATGTACCCACCCTTTTCGCCTCCCCAGTATGGTGCCCTATCAGTGGGAAGAGCTCACATGTCGAAGTGACTTCGCTTGTGCGATTAGCGCTGATTGCCCCTCTGATGGAAGATTCAGAGATGTTTTACTCAACCATTCCAGGGACAACTCATTGGTCCGATCGTAGTGTGGGCTCTCCGACAATGCCAGGAAATCCGGTCTCAAATGCCAAGGAACGTGCGCAAATGCTTCAGGTATCTGAAAATTATTCAAAATTAATTGCTTTTTTCGAAATTTGTGAAATCTTCTGACATCTTTCATCATAGCATCACCAACTTTTTAGGTGTACCTTGACAAATTCCTTGAGTACTGTACTCGCGAAACGGTGCGAGTTGAATGGAATGATGAGAAGAAACGATTCCAGTGTGCAAGTTTCATCATTGACAGGTACAAAACCTTTAAATTACTTGATAAAGCAGTGATTAAAATTACTAACATCGCTAACATTTTTGAATCCAGGGTGATCAATCTGTACATCGCGGAGTGTTTCCCGGATATCGAAGCCAACGGAGTGGACATTTTTGGTGGATGGGAAGGCGCCGAGGATGCCATTGAAGCGCTGGATACGGCGGATCCCATAGTAATTGCTAGGTATGATCAGGAGCGGTGCCCAACCTTTGCGGTTTTCTATTATTCACAGCTATCAAAGAGCAGTAATAACCTATGGATACGTATCAATATCCAGGCTACTGTAAGACCCATTATTATTGTTGGAACAGGAATTTACCCAATAGTACTTCAGGTACTGGCTTATTCGCTGGGTGAATAACTTGGCAGCCGTTCGACAACAGCCATCTGCCCAGTGGCATCCAGGAATGCTTCTTTACCATGATGCTCTGTTCACTTCACATCGTGCAACGAACACCGCACTGACATTGATGAGAGAAGCGATGACGCTGCCCCTACCGTGCAGTAATGTCATTCAAAAGGTATAGCTGTTTTTATACTTCAGAGTCGTCAGCTTTCAAGGCAAATTCCATGCTGATCGTCTGGGCGGAGTCACTAGGACCATTCCATCTTCCTCACTTTTGCATCCCACCTAAGTGCCTTTTCAAACAGATTCGTTCTGGAATGAGGGATTCACTGATCCTAAAATTTTACTCATGCAGTCAGCGATTTGATGCCATCGCTTTTCCAAAATCGATGAAAACTTGTACACGTGGGGGGAGAGACAAGAAGGGAAGCACTCCTCCTACCAAGCTCAGCCTTGATAGAGCGCTAAGTGGTGCTGTAGTGGTGAGTGAACGCCATAATTCTGATCAATACATAAAGAATTCTGGTATGCACGAATTCGGCGATGTAGCCAAATGATGGGGCCAGCCTCAAGAAAAGATTGTCATATCGTGATCATGGCCCCGAATCACTCCTATGGGCGTAGTTTCAGCAGGAAACTATCTCGAGTTTTGAGGTAGTAATAGTTCGGTTCTACCGAACTTCTGTTGCTGACTATGAGTAAAGTTGAACGACTGTTGTCTGCTATAGGATTTCCCTTTATAGGTTGTTTCGACGCTGTCTGCCTGGTTGTTGCAGTATGAAATCCCACCTTTTGTTGCCAGCAATGAGGTATGTCGATTGTTTAGAGGTATTTTTGTGCTTACTAACTGTGCTCAATCAATCTAAGGCTGCGCTAATACTTCGCGATTGTAACTGGCGGCACTCTGCTACTAATCGTTAGACCGATACAACTGCATATTCAAGGACAGTCAAAATAAAACCTATTCCGAGCTTCGCAACGGTCCAACGATTAGCGGTGAAGCATGGTCGGCCACGCGATATCGCTATAGTCACATAGTATGAACGGGTTTAAACCACGCGGTGTAATAGCGCGCAGATCGCTTAGTTGTTCCTGCACATGCACTTCGAGTGCCGCACATGTTGATACTGTTCTCTTCTAATATAGGTATCTCTGGAAGAGTAAATGTGCGTTTCAATTGTTGCAGGTGCCTGTGGAATCGTCATCCTTGCTACTCATCAATATGCTGCTGTCCTTCTTCCAAGTCACCTTACCTTCTTCAACCTGGCGATCGCCTGGCGTCAGCGGTCACTACTTCATACGCTATTCTTCGCACCTGCCGTGATTTGGTCGCTCATCGACCGAATCTTGCGAGACCGCTGTCTGTCAGGGTTTGGTGGGTATACACCTCAAAGGATAAAAAGGAAAAGTCTTCGCCGTTGATCAATCCCTTTGTGGGATGCGGCACGCATTCTACTTCCATTCAGAATCGTAGTGGCTTATTGAATGCGATGTGGCCTATACAATGACTTGCGGGGCCAGCCGATGTACAAGTCAGTGTTTTATCCTCCCAGACGAATCTGGTACCAATTACCGTCCCGGGGGGTAGAAGGCTTGGTTGGCCTGGGCGGGAGTCGACCCGGGATTTGAACCCAAGACCGTGCGGGCAGGGCTCCACTTGTTACTACACCACATCCGCCTCAAGAGTATATACCTTACTGGTAATAATTGGTTGTCCTTGTTAGTTACTGATTACCTTTGTCAGGTCCGAGCTCATGTACCGTTTGTGCCAGTCAGCAACGAGAATCTGCTCGCATTCGGATAAATACTCGCAGGAAATGTCGGCAGCATTCGCCATGACAGTGCTGTCCAACATGGTCCTGATCAAGGTTAGCTAGCTCGCTGTCCTTTTTCCATTCGTTTGGAAGTTATTTTCTATTCAATCCTAGGCTGTGCGTCAAATTGAAATTGACGATAAGTTGTGGGACGAAGTTCACAGTGTTTTCCAACGCGGTATTTGGATTCAAATGGCACAGCAATGGGCTCGGGTAAATGTTTGGCACCCCTACGTCTTTGCCAGTTATTCTACTCTCTAGGTTTCTCACCTGAGAGACCCAATCACCCTAATTCTCCATTACTTACAGCTATCGCAAAGTGTAACAAGAGCACTAATCCTACACTTAGCACATGTGGATATTATGAGCCAAGAGGACTTGGACAAGGCGGTAAGCGACGAATGGCATAAATGCATGTATTGACTGTTTTTGGAAAGCTTGAAAAGTAGCTTTTTGCTTACAGAACGAAAAGGCTCTGAATAAGAAAATTGAATCGGTTGAGGACGAGAATGCGGAGGAGAATTCAGCTGATAATGAATCAAATGGTGATAATACTTCTTTCTTAGACGCTGATGATATCACCAATGCTGTGCAGGTAATATTACAGCACATTGCATCTATCTGTTACCTAAACGTGGTTCTGTGCACTCTGGTTGAAGTGACAGACAACTGTCAGTTTTTTGTTACACACTTCTTTAGACGTGGTCAGGAAATCCGACTCAATGGCTACAAGTGTGGCGTCGCTTCATGTGCGTTCTTGGACCTCACTGCGTCAGCTCGGCGAATGCTCAGATTGCAGTGGAAACTCTATCGAGCACAGTCACCAGTCTTCTAGCGGTGAGAATATTCAATCTTTTTAAAAAAATTTTTTCTCCAGTCCAGAATCCCCACTTCTACTAGTTGTTTGTGAATAAAACCCATTAAACTCCGTATCCCGAAGATGGGAGAGGCGTGGCAGCATACTCCAATTGACCACGGTGTCTGATGCGTTCTATGCGTGGTATTTCCACACGGGATAGCTGTCATTATGTCGCGTACTGGATCAAGACATGAGTGCAGTTATTTCAAAACTGTAATATTCACCAAAAGCGCAGTAGCCGACACTTTCAAATAGAGTACGCGGCCACCCACTTCATCTCCGGGATATGCAGCGTACCTATATGAAAGGATGGAAAGGATGGTGCCCGGCTTTCAGTACGACTGAAATTGAGCTGTTCCAAATAGGACTGGTATTTTTGCGATGAGCTGGAAGTGTTGTCTATAGGTGAATCTTGACCCCCTGGCTCACTGGATAGCGGCCAGGTTGGTGCAGACGCCGGTGAATTTGCTGCCGAACTGCATCGCTTCATTGGGAATGGTGCTCAACAGCAGCCGTCAGCCGTCACCTATCCTACAGGCGCATATTCTCCATGCCTTTATGCGACTTATAAAGGCTGGGGATCCACAGGTGAGCCCTTATTCATTGCAATAAACTTCTTCATTTTACTTTAAATATCTGTTAGAAGTATGCGCCTTCGTTGCAGGTTCTCCCGCATGTGGCGTCGATGTCTCCGAGACATTTGATGGTTTTATCGCAGAGCCTTCTCCATGCAATTCCTGCTATGATATCAGAAAACCCGCCCACTGAGCATACTTTGAAGGTTTTGGCGCTGCTAAGTTCCTCCAATACATCAGCAGAGCAGTTGCTTCTGAAGCAGGTTGGAGAAGATCTATGGTTTTTCAACGAGACAGTATTTCCCAAATCCATCGTGTCCTATGGCATGAACTTGCGTTTTCTGAAGTGGATAATTTTCAGCTTTCTCCATCTGAAATCTCGCTTTCTCATGCCCTGTTGTGCGTAAATGCCCTGTGCATGCTGGTTATACAACGTGGCGACTCTGAACTGATGTCCAAGGTATTTTCCAATGAAACCATTTTTCTTGTCACATCATGATTGACTGATTTCAGATGCTCGGTCTTCTACAGAATCACAGATGTGGTCCCAGTCTTATGCCATTGTTGTGTTCTTGTCTTGAGTCGCTATACAAGGTGTCCAGGAATCCGAATGCTTTACAAAGTAAGAAGATATTGTAAATGAAAAGTCACTGACCTAATTGAAATTGGAATATATGAGTAAGAACTGAGGAGGGAAGGTGGGGGGGAGGGTTGAAAGCTCAGAGACAGCTCAGTTTCTGTCTCGTTTGTACCACTAAACCGAAACTGAGCGAAAGCATAGTTCCCCCTTCATGCTCACCTGTTCTGAGACCTGGAACTCCTTTTTAGATTTGTAAGCCTCACCCAACCTCGGAGTCAAGCTTGCTATTTCTTTGAGTACTTTTTAGATTTGTAAGCCTCACCCAACCTCGGAGTCAAGCTTGCTATTTCTTTGAGTATGTCGAATTTCCAGAACTTTTCTACTTTCCCATCATGTGTATCCACAGCACTTGGCAACGATACAATCTGGCGCCGAGCGCCCTTTTAAAACCCCTATCGGTCCTCACACATTATGCGAAAGAGTCCCTTCTCCCTTTCATAGATCTTACTATCCACACAATATCTCTTTTGCGATTCTTTCGTCCAATTTTTTTTTTTGTTTTTTTTTTTCAATGGTGCTCGTGGTGCTCATAGATAGACCTAGCGACACAGTTCTCCAGGCCCTGACGAAACGGCGGTTGGGAGAAAAGCAATAAATAGTCATCGATCGGAGAATCGCCCAACCGTCCAACCGCCCAACCGCCGCGGTTGGGCGAAAAGCAGTAGATGTGTATCGATTTCGCTGGCGAAAAACGCCACCGCGATGGAGCTAGCGTTTGTCGAAGGCGAAAAACGTCGCGGTTTGGCGAAACGCCCGTCGATACGTACCAAAACCCTTTCGCCCAACCGCCAGGCTCTTCGCCCAACCGCCAGTCGATATGTATCGAAAGCTTTTCGCCGAACCGCCGCGTTTCAGAGAAACGCTGGACCGCAGAGTGTGAACAATGCCTTACATGATCGACCAGAGCACGTCGCTAGTTGGGAGTTCCTCGCGCGGGGGGGGGGTCGTACTAGTCATATTTGCATTTGAGTGAGATTCCTGGCTTTTCACTTTTTCCTGTGTCATGTGCATTATATGCTTCTCTCTCCCTACCCGTCAACGACTTTTTTTGGAAAACGGAGAGAAGTTTGGCATAGTGGTAGGAATTTGAGAAAATATAGAAAGAAACAACGTGGGATGGAGGAAGTGGGGGGAAAAGGTGGGTGGGTGGTCCCAGGGAGGAACTTTCGAGGGGATTGTGTTCTGCAAAAAAAAACGTTCGGGCCAAGCTGGGGTGTCATACCACGTTCTGCCCAACGGCAAAACGTGGTATGACACCCAGCTTGGCCCGAGCGTTTGAAACTATGCTGGGTTTAGTTATAATTGTTACGCATTTGAGTGGTGCTTCGAACGATTCCTGCTCTTCGTGACGAGCGCCTGCGAGCTGAAGTGCAGTGGACGATAGCCTCGTTAGCGTTGTCGCACTCATTGAAAAGTGAACTTCCGCAGATTACAAGAGCATTTTTGGTGGATCAACAGAAGCTGCTGGAAGGTAGGATTTTCAGTATGGTTTGTCCTTTGGAATTTTAGATTTTAACGTTCCTAGGCGCGCTTTTGACAATGGAGAACCAGTTTCCATTGCCTGGCTTCAACGTGTCCAAATGGAATTCAGTTGAATCAACACCAACGAAACCGAATGATACGCAGGTCTTTGTGCAGAAGGATAGTGCTATTATCGGGTACGTGAACTGGTAAATAGGACTTTATTTATCTTGCTGGCTGCGATGCACATTTGTGGCAGCCTGTGTGTCATTATGCGACCCATTTTATGTGATCCAGAAGTTCCTGGAGTTTATTCACGAATCGCTGAAGCCATTCTTTCATATGAATGTTAATGTCCAGCTGTTGTCTAAGCCTAGAAAACAAATCTCATATAGACGTGAGAACCTTAGCTTTCCCTTCCAGAGTGAATAAGGAGCAACAATTGGAAGTGACGACTCGCACGGTCGTTGGAAGGCACTGTTGGGTTCTGGAACCGCATAAAACTGAGCGTAAGGAGTGGCGTAACGTGAATGCATGGCTACAGAAAGAAGCACAGCGCGGACGTCGTGCAGGTGAAATCTTCCGAACTTATCATTACCATGACGTAATAAGTTGGAATTCTCCTTTGCACTTTACTCCTAGTATTCCCTTAGTCTGCCAAGGATCAGATTCCTCCTTCAGGAAGAGATTCTGTTGGCATTCTTGGCGCGATGGATGATCCATTTGATGCGCTGCCACGTCAGAGTAATGTCGTGCCTAGCAAAGCGCCACCGGAATGGATGGCAATCGTGGAGGATAGCCGACGACAACCGCAACCTTTGAAACCGCTACCACCGTCTGCTGCGAAATCTGCGCCGTCTCGGTGAGCACCTTTGTAGCATATTCCCCACTTCTGCTCTTCTATCAGCAGTCATCCCGTGAGTAGGTGTTCTTTTATGTTAGTTCCATAAAGGCCTCTTGTTTAGACTACATGAATGGCGATCCGTTGCTGCTAGTCTTGGTTTCGTGCCAAATGTCTCAGAAGTGCCTTTGAACTTCTCGCGTGATCTGAAGCATCTGGATCAGACGTGTGCGAGAGAAGTGCATAAGGTGAGTGAAAACCAGCACGTATGATAGTATCGGCTCAAGCCGGCTTGGAGTGGTTGCATTAAAAGGCTCGCTTGGGGTGGGACTGGAAGAACTGCATGTGCGAGGTTTGGGTTACCGTATTGCGAAACCCCTTTTCGCATAATCAGTTCCCTCACTATCGTATGCCTATGATTGTTCAGAATCCTCATCTACGTTTTAGCAACGAGGGGTACTTCAAATGACCTTCCCTATACCTATCTGCGTCGTAGTATTCAGTATTACCTTGTTTTAAAGAAGTAAAGTGCCATCCCAGTGCCTACCAGTGCCATCCTAGTTGTCGAGAAACGGACAAGACAATGATAATATGTCGCACCGCCGCGCACGGCGTTTGTGCGGCCATGCGCGGCAAATTCTGGATGTGCAGCAGTTTGTCGATTGGAGTAGCGGAACTCACTGAATTGAAGCAAAGTGCCGCATAGTACGGTGCTTCGGTGTCATACGGTAAACCGCCTGGATAGCCCTCATGGCCTCTTCCTATGCGAACCTGAGAATAATTAGGAGCTTTATGGAGAACTGAAGGCTCTGAATTCGGAAAATAATTATACAGGTGAACATACCTGCCAACCAAGTTCACTAACGAATCGTTCGAAACATGGTGATGCAGTGGTA